CGCGGTGCGGGGCTGCGGGGGGTCGAGGCTCGTCCCACGCGCCCCGCAGCGGTCCCCTTTGCCTACGGGCGTCCCCTCGGCCCTCCTGGGGCTGCGTGGGCCCCCGGAGGCCTCCCTTAACCTGCTAGTGTTAGACGTAAAAGCTGCGGGTGTCCTGGGAATACCCCGCGCTGCTGGCGCTGCGCCCCGCGAAGGGCCCCTCGGCTGTAGCGCTGCCAGCCGCTCATTTATCAGCCGCCTGTTTTAACTCATCTCGTCGTTGCCTTTGCTTTTGTAAACATTTTGATGCGTCAGACTTTCATACAACAGGCTATTACCTTGCTAGTTCCAATCATCATCTCTTGACGACATCATGTGTTAATTTCTTCTGACTTTCCACAGCATGCCGCTCTCTGCATTTTCAAAGGAGTGCTGAACTCGGCTAAAGATTCAGCTATCAAGTAGGACGTGTTTGAGTTTTTCACAGTTGAAATGTCAAGTTTCTCTTGCAAGTACTTTTTCTAGGTGCAAAAAAAAATAGTTCAGTCCCTCTGCAACACTTTCGTGCTGTTACTGAACAGCGGTCGCTGAGTCTTGCTGACCATGGCGGTGTTTCGTGTGTTCTCTTTTTGTGGAGATTAATTATTCCTGAACGTTTCTGAGCCAAGCAGGGTTTAAAGAGGATTCTCTTGAACACAGGGACACGTCTCCCACCCATTTTGCCTGGAATCTACTTGTTGCCCAAGCACCATGAGGAACATTTGCTCCGTGTCCCATAGCATCCCAGTGTGTGCAGATTACCTTTAGAGGGCACCGTTTTGTTGGACTTGGGTCGACATCAAAGTTTTCCAGGAATCTCTGGGCTTCCTTGGCAAGTGTGGGAAGAGCAAAGTGTCTGCACCAGGTTGGAAAAAGCTTCACCCTAGGACAAGGGTATTCACAGGTATTTATTTTTCAGATCAGGTGTTTAATGAAATCTATCTATGAGAGGAAATGTGTTGCACTAAGTAAAAGTACAAGGACTCTAGAGAGTCCCCCTCCACACAGTTGTTAACCAAAAAGTTAATTTATTTACCCAGATGATACCTTTTTCATTGAAGCTACTTGAGCAGGCTGCTGTTGAAAGTTATGTGTCTTTGGTTTAAGCAGTGAGAATACTCCTGCAGATACTCCCGCATCTGGAGTATTGTGTCCAGTTCTGGGCCCCACAGTACAAGAGGGATGTGGAGCTGCTGGAGAGAGTCCAGCGCAGGGCCACAAGGATGATCAGGGGCCTGGAACATCTGCCCTATGAGGAGAGGCTGAGGGAGCTGGGCCTGTTCAGCCTGGAGAAGAGAAGGCCGAGAGGGGACCTGAGCAGTGTCTAGAAGTACCTCAAGGGAGGCAGTGAGGAGGATGGTGCTGGTCTCTTTTCAGTAGTGGCCACTGATAGAACTAGAGGAAATGGCCACAAACTGAAACACCAAAAGTTCCATGGGAACTTAAGGAAAAGGCCCTTCCGTTGCATTCTGTGAGCAGCCCCACAGCAGAGTGGTTCATCTACAAGCCGCATTCGGATGTTTGAGTGACTTTCCAGCTCCAGAAAAGAGAAAAAACAAGCACGGAGAAGTGAGGTAGGAGGAACCCTCAGCTGGGTGCGTGCCACAAGCACAGCGCGGATTCCTGCAGCGCGGCTCCCCCAGTTCACCTCGCAGGTGCTTGTTATTAATGTGCAGCAGCCCGGCTGCAGAACCGGCACTTACCAAGCACCGAAACGCTGCTGAGAGCAGCAGGAGCCACGTTTGTTGTTTTTGCCATAATCCCGTGGTAACAAAAGGCATAGGCTGCACTGTCCCTGCTTCAGGGTTAAGGTGATTCTTGGGACCACTGTATAGTACCTTGGATTTTTGTAATTGTTTTCATTGAAGTTTTTGTTCATCAGAATTTCTCTCTAGGTACATACTGTAGATTTTAGCTGATATTTGTACTTAAATGTTATGCTACTATTGTATCATTAGTCCTCCAAGTATTCTTTGTCAGTGAATCCAATCCCTTACCTTAACACACAAGGATCCAATAAAAGAATTTGTACATACGAGCTGTATGCAGAATGTAGGGAGAATGTTTATATATCTTAGTATTTACATACTATATTATTTATGCTTCTAAACAAAGTTTGATTTCCCTTTTCATATATCTCAATACATGATGAATAATTTGCTCTTAATCTCTGCACTTATTTCACCTTGAATCTTCTGTGTTTACCGAGCTGCATTATAACCTTTGATGCAAAAGCTGGAAACTTCCACTCAGAAGCAAAGCATTTTGTCAACTTCCCGCTTTAGGGCCCTTTCAAAGCAATTCTTTATGCTCTACAGTATAGTGGATAAACCAAAATGACAGCTGTGGGGCCGTGGGTACATCTAATAAGCCTTTACAGGAGCAACTGAGCAGTTCTGCTCTTATGTAATCCTGCAGCTCGCTGCCAGTCCCTGATATCCCCCGTGTCTCAAGCCAGCACTTCATGTGACCCTTGGCCACGGTGAATAGCACACTAGTAATGTGAGGCATAAAATACACACATTATGTAATCGTTTCTCCTGACAGCAACCCAGGCCAAGTTATTTCCTACTGACTGCGGCAGTAACAGACATTTAATTCTAACTTGCCGCTAAAATAAAGTGTTCTGTGGGTAGAAGGAAGCATATGGGTGGCAACAGAGAGCGGAGGTTGTTCGTGCCCAAACGTGAATGCACCAGAAAGATTAGCAGTGTTTCTGGAGCTTGATTTATACGGCCAGCTTAGCCTCACAGCCTGTAAATGCAGGCTGTTAAAAAGCACACCAAGCCCCGTTGCATGTCTGCCTTCACTAATACGGCCAAGGAGAAAATTGCAAACGTTGTGAAATGTATTTTAATTATACCCTCAGCGCTCGGTAAAACACCTGGTTTTAAAAGTGCCTTAAAAACACTAATAGAACTTTTGTTTCCTTAGACTCACACTGACCTGACGCTATGACTTACTGTGGAGGACAGAACCAGAAAATGCAGTGTCAGCGTTTAACAGCATGAGAAAAGCAGAAGCCTTCGCTGTTGTAATGTAAGGTATTATACTTCCAGAAAAAAAAAAACAGCAAAAGAAAACAAAAAAACAGCCTTGCTGTACAGAAACTTAACGCTGCGTGGAATCCCAGCATGTTTCAACATATTAAATATGTCAGGGGAGGAACGGCGTGGTCCCTGGGCTTCCCTGTGCCCTACCTGGCACAGCGTGGGCTTTGCGAGGTTACGTGCGCGTGCGGTTGTCATAGCACAGGAGGGAACATCGGGAATACCGTGCAGTCTGCCCTTTCTCCTCTTCTAAACTGGAAGAGGATTTCATGTGCCTGAAGAAAGGGAGAGTTTTCACATGAAATTACACGCTCGGATCGTAACTTCTGCTGTCCAGAAGTGGCCCTTGGAGGCAGTCAAGGTTATCCTGGTTTGATATGAATATAATGGTTTGTTTTAGAGCCTTCTGGGTGCTTCTGTCTATCTTTGTTTCTCTTCAAACATCTGAGACGAAAAAATTGCAATTATCAGTCCTGATTTGGAAGCGAAGCTATTCCCAGAGCATGATCCCCAAAACGCAGCCTACAGCTGTTGCGTACTGCTTAAAGAGCCTTTGGACGTCTTCCAAAATGTGCTGAAAAGTTCAAACTTAGGGGAATAGCCCTGTATTTCACGCTGTGGTCAGCCTATCTTAGGCAGCAAAGACATGGTTGCACTTACTCTGAGAACTTCCTTTGCTGAAACTCTTTGACTATTATGTATGGGAAATTTCGACGTGTGAGAGGACGTACAGCTTTTACCTCACACTCTGTGCGTGGTGAGGAGGCTCAGGGCAGAAGTTGGGTACAGGCAGTGTTGAAAACTTTGGAGGCAGGACGTGATTGATTTCACTGCAGCAGCTTGCAAGTGGCCTTATCTTTATTTAGAGGCGTGTCCTTCCTCAACTGCCTGCCAACTTTGCTAAAGAGTGCTTGCAAACCCAACATTTATACTCGGGGAAGTATTGAAAGTCATTTTTATGTATTTGCTTAAAAAGAAGATAGGACTAGCTATGTGAAGAGGGCAGAAAGGCAGGCGCGATTCCGCTATTCTTCTGCTGATGGTGTTGCTGGTTTGCCCAGCTGTGGCCGTCACATCCAGAACACGTCTCCACGCAGCCCGGGGGCTGCCGAGCCGAGGGCCTGCCCCGAGGCGTCGCGTGGGCACGAACAGCATCGTTTCCAGGGACTATCCAAGTAGATATACGGGAATGGGCCTCACAAACAGCTGCCTAAAAGGCGCTGGGACCCCCTGCGTTTGAGAAGCCCCGTGACAGGCTACGAGGCCGGGGAAGACGGTGAGAGGCCCTTGCGCTCCTTCGCGTTGTGCTAGTGCCCGTGAAGCGTCCCAG